ATACACAATTGCATTTGTTGCAACTACTTGGGTGCGTGATTTGATACACATGTAAAATTTGGGGAAGATATTATGCATTTCCAAGTATTGAGAAACAGCTGTTCTGAAGAGAAGCTTGGCAGTGGCTCCCAAAATATATCCACTGTGTATTCAGGAAATTTCCTTTCTTTCTTTTCTGTTTCATATTATAGCAAACAATGCTATGCAAGGCACTGGTGTAATCATGGCCAATGTGACTGCCATGAAAACCATAAAGTTGCATAAAGTCCCAACTATATGTGACGCTAATTGCATTTCTAGAAACCCCATTGCCATTTTTTAAAATTAGAGTTTACTTCTGTTCCTCATTTTCATAGCGACCATTACACTACGGTGGACAGCAAGGTTTACTTCCTCCCTGCCCTAACATAGTCTGGAAAAAAAATCTGCTCCGTTAGGCTGCAGAGAGGCTTAGAACAGGGGTGAGGATCTACAGTCCACAGCACCTCCCTAAAGCCTCATCCTCCTTCCTGAAGAGGGTCTCTGGACCCACCACCACAGCACCTGCAACGAGGGAATGCCCTGGCAGCGTGTGTCTGCGTGCAAGTAGAGGTACAGTATATGTGAAGAAAACCATTTTGAATGCAGGGATTTCTTATAGAACAATTCTTTTTTATTTTTTTAATAGAACAAAAATATAAATGACAAATAGAATCACAACTCAAATATATAGTGTAACCCACCACCTTTGGGAATATAAATTTATGTATATATATTCCCATCAATATGTTTCATCTTAATTTATATAATGTGCCTTGTCTTTTTCCAAAAAATATAATGATTCTTGCGTTGAGGAATAATCTTTTTTTTTCAAATAAGTATTCTATATAAGAGTTTGAAATCCCATTAAAACTATTTTCCTTCAATAATCCTTTTCTAATTTTCAATTCACACGTTAATTTATCATTAATAGCTAGATTCCACAACTCATTATACCATTCTTCCAACATCAACTGATAATTATTTTTCCAATTCCTTGCAAATATCAACCTAACTGCTGTTAAGACAAGAACAATAAGTTTCATTTCCCCCCTATCTAATTGACAGTTTCCAAATATATTTAAGACTGCTAAGATTGGGCATTTTTGTATATCTGTCCCTAGAATTTCTTTAATCTTATTAAATATAATCACCCATTCCTTCTTTCTCTCTTCACATGCCCACCACATATGGTACTATGTTCCCCTTTCTTTTTTAAGAATGATTCTTTTTCAACCTGCATGCAATGGACATACTTGCCTTCTTTCTCAAAGCTGTAGAAATTCATGGTTCACCTTGAAAATAACTCAAAAGGAACTCATCTCATTTTTACTACTTCACTCATCTTTTTGACACACAAGTCAAATACAAAATATAATGCTACTCCTATCCACACTGCAGCATTGCCTCTCACAAAGCACCCCTGTGGTGCCTTGGTGTGGAATTGCCTCTAGACTAGCAAGTCAGAAACCAATAGGCCATACAATGTGCACCATTGAGAGAAGACAAGCAGGAAGATGCTCTTGCACTCATATCTCAATGCGGGGACTTCCCAGAGGCATTATCTGGCCACCATGGGAGCAGAAAGTTGACCCCGATCAACACTTGGAAAAGCTTAGTTTTGGACCACATGGCTATGGTGGCTGGAGGATTCCAGAAATAGCGCTGTAAAAGTAACTTTTCCAAAGTCTGATCTGAACAGCTATTGGTCTAACCTTGCATGGCTCTTCCATTCTTAGGACTATATGGCATAACCCAGCTTCATATTCTCATCTTACTCTTTGCTGTCAGAGACACATTCCTCATTTTAGTGAAAGATAACTATTTCCATCAGCCTGTCCTCATGCAAAGCATTGAACTTCTTGTAACTTCTGAAGCTCTTTGATTTTATTTCCAAATGCTGCTGAAACCTGAATGTGTTACTCCAGTTAGCCATCTTCACCACTCAAGATGCAACTCTGCATTCTAGTTCTCGAATGAAGTTGTGAGGCAGTCTTGGGAATCCCAGGCACCTCGTTATTTCTGCTTAATGTGGGTATTTTTTTTAATCATCATCATCCCAGTAGGGATGGGTAGGTTAAACATTTTCCTTACAGGAAAACATTAAGATTGAAAATGACTTCTGACTCCCTCCAAAGGCCCCAAATGACTCCTCTTTGCCAAGGTCATCAGAATTGATACCTATTTTTTTCTTTTCTTTTTTTCTTTTTTAATTTATTTTTTTTACTACATACAAAGACATACACTCATAAAGAAAGAAAAAAACAAGACAAAGCAATACTAACAAAATCAGAAACAAAAAAAAAAAAGAATTATCGATACCTATTTTAGGGACTTAATTGCAATGTTAGTATTGATGGATACTGTTAACCAGCTTGCATTTCTGTTGGGGGGAAAAAGTAGATCATAAATGGAATTCACAAATTGGCAAATAATGTATTATTCAGATTTGCCTTAGATGAGGGCTTCTCAAACCTTCCCTAAAGGCTGGTAAATTTTGATTTGTGGAATCCTTGCACACTAACCCTTCTCAGACCCAAATTTGGGAACTACCCCATCCCAGATAGCCAGGGGGTGCCATGTAGTGGTTAGAGCTGAACTCCCCAGTTTTATTATTTTTCTACGAATGCAGTGGCTGGGTATTAACTAAGCAGCCACTCTCTTCACAAAATGGGGTAATAACAGTAGCCTACTTGTCCTTGTAAACCCTATTACGACTCAATGGGGTGGGGTGGGGAATCTTGTTCTCATCCATGTTTTGGGAGCTGCTCCACAGTGCCTCTCTTAGAAATAGTTGCCGGTCCGTGGCTTGAGCCCAACCGGGCCACGAAGACAGACCTCCCCCCTGCATGCACTCCCCTCCCCACAGCTGCTTTTGTGCGTGCGTGTGTCAGCACCAGTGTGAGCACTCCCTCACCCCTTCATGCAAGCCCTCACGTGTGCAAAGCAGCTGTGAGGAGGGGAGTGCGTGGGGGGGCGGGAGGTCTGCCTTTGCGGCCCCCCTGGCATCAGCGGCAGGGGTGGGGGAGAGCTGGGAGGCAGGGCAAGAGACGGCTGGTCTGGCTGCTCTCCTCCCGGCAGCAGCAGCTGCCGGGGGGTGGTGGTGGTGGAGAAGAGCCAGGAGGGAGAGCAAGGGCCGGGTGCTCCGGCAGCTCTCCTCCTGACAGCAGCGACAGGGCTAGGGGGTGGGCAAGAGACAGGTAAAATAAAAATTAAAAAGACTCCCAGGCTTCCACCGCTGCCATGGGTGGGCAGGCGCTCCTGCGCATGCGCAAAGTGGTGAGGGAATGCGCATGTGCCATAGGCCAACCACCGTGCACGTGCATCACAGAGGGCAAGCGCGAAGGGCCGCCCCACCTCCCTCAGAGACTCCGCCGGTCCGCACTAGTAAAAAGGTTGGGGGACTCTGCCCTAGGGTACCACCTGTGAGAAAAGCCAGCATATAAATTAAATAAGCTGGGGAACAATATACAGCCTTGTCATACTCCTTTCCCAATTTTGAACCAATCCGTTGTTCCATATCCAGTTCTAACTGTTGCTTCCTGTCCCACGTATAGGTTTCTCAGGAGATAGACAAGGTGGTCAGGCACTCCCATTTCTTTAAGAACGTGCCATAGTTTGTTGTGGTCCACACAGTCAAAGGCTTTTGCATAGTCAATGAAGCAGAAGTAGATGTTTTTCTGGAACTCTCTGGCTTTCTCCATAATCCAGTGCATGTTAGCAATTTGGCCTCTAGTTCCTCTGCCCCTTCGAAATCCAGCTTGTACTTCTGGGAGTTTTCGGTCCACATATTGATAAGCCTACCTTGGGGGTAGGCTTCAGCAGTACATGGACAAAAACAATAATAAAGATACTTAATTTGATTTCTGAACCACAATGGATACTTGGTAACTTGACTTTATAACTGTGCAGGGTTCACAACTGCCATATATGTTAACTGCGAGCTGACTGATAATCTCAGCATCAAAAGCAAGATTAAAAATAAGGAAAACTGAATGTTAGGGAAGTTAAATTAGAAGCACAGCAAACCTCTGTATATAGTAGTAAACAATCTTAGGAGAGGATTATTAACTACTGTACGGAATCAATGATGCTCTCTATTCCCAAGGGGACCTTTTCCATTTTTTCATCCTCTAAAAGTATTATATTTATGTTATATAATATTAATTTGTTAAACAACCCTGAGTGCTCACTGGAAGGGCAGATTCTGAAGCTGAGGCTCCAAGACTTTGGCCATTTCATGAGAAGCCAAGACTCCCCAGAAAAGACCCTGATGTTGGGAAAGTGTGAAGGCAAGAGGAGAAGGGGACAGAGGATCAGATGGTTGGACAGTGTCATCGAAGCTACCAACATGAATTTAAACTAACTCCGGGAGGCAGTGGAAGACAGGAGGGCCTGGCATGTTCTGGTCCATGGGGTCACGAAGAGTTGGACGCGACTGAACAACTAAACAACAATAAATTAACTACTATTATTCTGAGGTCCAACGAAGCTATCTATTCTGAAATTAAACATTCTGCCAGGCATTATTTTAGGCTAAAGCTGTTTCAATACTTTGCTACGGGTGATAGGCATTGTAGTCACAGGGGCGAGAAAGTCCAGCGGGTGCAGAAGCGGCCCCTGATATGTGAGAACAAGGGTGTTAAATGGACAAACTCGGGACCCATTTTCCGTATATCAAAGTATTTGAAATAACAGACAAGAACCCGGGTCACTCTACGAGGGCGTGTTTTAACGCGGAGAGCAAGAGTTCTCGCCTGCCCCGGGCGGGGTGGGAAGAAGGGTCAGGGCGTGTAGAGCACCTTTGGGCTTATGCCTCAAAGTCGCTCGAAGCACCCACCCGAGGGGAGCGCCTCCGCGCCAAAATGCCTTGGGCACTCTCCGCCACTTCCCGCCGCGTCCTGCCAAGAGGCGGGCGGGCGGGCTTCCTTTNCAGGCCAAACGTTATCCGCGGGTGGGGTGGGGATCGAACTCTTCCTTCGGGATGTCGCCCGCCCCGGGCTCGCAAGGGCGGCTTTTCTGCCACACAGCGAGTGGTCGTCCAAAAGGCGGGCGTGACGCAGAAATCTGCGGCCGGCCGGTGACCCACCGGGTCGCTCGTCGGGGCAGAGAAGGGGTCGGGTAGGAGGGCCAACTCCCTGCCCCTTTAGCTAAGGAAAAGAGGGGCGGGGTCCGCTGTTGGGTGGGCCAGTGGCCTCGCTTTCTTTCCCCCCCTGCTCAGTCAGCGAAGGGACCCGCCTTTTTCCTTTTTTTTCTTTTCTTTCCATGAGTGACTCTTTGCTCCAGGGAGATCTCCTCCCGGGCGGGCGGTACTTCCCCTCCTTTTCCCGCATGTACCCCGCCCGCTCGCCCGTATGGAGGGCGCTATAAACGCGCCACCCGGCGCAAAGAGGGGGAAACGGCGCCGGGGGCGGCACTCGAATGCTCTCCTCCAGGCGTTTCTCCCGAACCGAGCGCTGACATGTGGCTACCGAGGCTGCTCCTGGTGACCCTCGCGGTAGCCGCCGGCCGGGGAAGAGGAACGGCCGAGGGGGCGCCGCCGGCTCCCTCGGACGCGCAGTGCCTGGACACGACGTGCTTCGCCTCGTTCTGGGAGGCGCGGAGCTTCTCCGAGGCGGGCGACGCCTGCGAGGGCGGAGGGGGACACCTCATGACCGTGCGCTCCACGGTGGAGGCGGAGGCCATTGCGCTGCTGTTGCGCGGCCGGGCGGGCAGCGCGTGGCTGGGCTTGCGCTTGCCCGAGGGCTCCTGCGTCCAGCCGGCGAAGCAGCTACGCGGCTTCCAGTGGGTCGCTGGCGATGAGCGGACGGACTACGCGGCTTGGGCCAGCAACGGGACGAACGCGACGTCGGAGGCTCCCGCTTGCGGCCCCCGTTGCGTGGTGGTGACCCGGGAGCTGAAGTGGCGGGAGCGCGCCTGCGACGCCGCGGCGGACGGGTTCCTCTGCGAGTACATCTACCCGG